GTTGTGTGACTATGGATGAGTGATCGGAATGTCCTGGGCCTCAGTTTCCTCATCTGTAAAGTGGGGACAATGCTGTTAACTAGCTGGGATACTTGTGGGAGGGAAGTGAGAATTCCAGTTCGGCTTGGAGCCGTGTCGCCCTCTGGTGGCCGACATGATAACAACAGCCCGGGACTCCTGCAGGAGTGCGGGGAGGCCGCATGACCCTGGTGTTCCGGTGCCGCCGCCCAGATGAGGACCACTCTACCGCGAGGAGATGCTGGAGATGGCCCAGAAGGGGTGCTGCATGCGGTGCACACAGCCTACTCCCGCCTGCCTGGCAAGCCCAAGGTAAATGCAGCCTCGAAGCAGGTGAAGCGTTACACACACAGGCTCCAGGGTGAGCCCTGGGTCCCCACAGGCCCCTCGCCTCCCTGAGCCTTGAGCTCCTGAGCTCTGAAGTGCGGGTAGTTCACAACCATCAGAGTGATGCTGTGAAGAGCATTATGCTCTCTCTTCCAGTAGAAGCGACAAGGCCGGAGAGGTTCAGGACTAACCTAGGTCACACGCGGGTTAAGCCCACAGCTCAGCCTGCTGAAGGTGGTCAAGGCTGGAGGGCAGCGGATGCTTCCACCATGGCCCTCAGACGGGCTCTGCTGCCCCCAGGCCGCGTTGCCCCCAGGCCGCGTTGCCCCCTGAGCCTGGGGTAGTCAGAATAGACTCTCAGCCCTCACACATCTGTCCCATCAGGGCACTTCCCGGGCCCAGTGCTCTGTGCCCAGTGCTGGGGCCAGTGGGCATCCTGTGTGGAGCCGGAGCAGAGAGTTCCCGACTGACTCCTGGATCTTCTCACTGGGGAGCCCGGGATCTGTACCCTGCAGGGACCTGATGGACAATCTGCATTGAGAGGCTCCCTTTTCCAGGGTGTAGGCAGAGCCCTGGGCAGGGGGACTGCCTTTATTAATGCCTCTTTGAAGCAAATTCAGAGACAGTCTGGGAGCCCTACTGGATGGTCAGCCCCTTAAGGGCAGGACTGTGTCCAGCATTTATCTCTCTACTCCCAGCCCAGCCCCCTGGGCATCTGTGCTCCTCCTCATCCTGAGCCTGGCCCCGTGCAAGGTCCTGGCTGGGAGGGGACTCACTCCACAGCCCTGAGTGCCCTCTCCCCGCCTCCCTGAGGCCAGCAGGCCTGTCTGCAAGCCTTGTCCCCAGCAGCTGGGGACTGGACCCACCACTTCCTCTGGTTTCAGGTCTATGTTCAGGACAGCCTGCGGCAGCAGCTGGCCAGCGAGGTGCTCCGTGTGCTCCATGAGGAGCTGGGCCACCTCTATGTTTGTGGGGATGTGCGCATGGCCTGGGATGTGGCCCACACCCTGAAGCAGCTGGTGGCTGCCAAGCTGAACTTGAGTGAGGAGCAGATCAAGGACTATTTCTTTCAGCTCAAGGTTTAATAGGGGGTGTGTGGGCTGAGGGTCCTGGCCAAGGGCACAGGCCATTGGAGCCAGGACCAGGGGTGGCCGGTAGACCCAGGGCAGTCAGGCCCAGAAAAGTTCTGGACCCCAAGAGAATCTTAGCAGTGGCTGAGATCTGAGCTGGGTGGGCTGTCAGAAGGCCCCGCTGCACATCCCGGACTGGTCGCAGCTTTGGGAAGTCAGGAGAATGGGTTCCATTTTGCCGTCTGTGGAATGGGGGCAGGAGAGTCTCCTTGGCCTCTCCCCAAACCCCCTTTCAGAAAGTATCTGTGTGGCCAAAGCAAGGCTGTGAGCACAGGGGAGAGCAAGGCTGCCCCCCGTCAGCCTCCTGTGAACCTCACACTTCTTATTCACACCCAGGCCGGCGTCTGCTCACCCTCATCCCCGCGGCAGCAAGGGCTTGCATTTCACTGATGAAGATAATAGTGATATTTATCAAGGGTTTCCACAGGGCATACTGCTTGCCAGGGATTTTCATGTGACATTTCATTCAGTCCTTCCGAGGACTTTATGAGGGAAGCACCCTGTTTTACAGAGGGAAGGAGGCCTACGGGGTCCACAGCAGTGAGAGCCTAGAGTTCAGTCTGCCTCTCTGTGGTTCCAAAGCCTGTGACTGTCACTTCCATACTCTCCCTAAGACACATTCATATGTTCAACTGAACATTTATTGAGCACCTACTATGTGTCAGGGATAGAGCAGTAAATGAAACAGGCAAAAATTCTTTACATTCTTCTGGGGCTGACAAACCCAAACAAGGAAAAGGTGTAGTGCTTCAGAGAAAAACAGCAGGAAACAGCCCAGGAAACGCTGGGGAGTGTAATTGTAAATAGGGTGGTCAGGGAAGGCAGAGCTGGAAGGCGGCGTCTGAGAATAAACCCGAGATAGCGAGTAGGAGCCCCGTGGACACTGAAGGAAACACTCGGGGCTGTTCTGGAGGGGGCAGCAGGTACAAAGGCCCGGGGGTAGGAGTTAAGCTGGCGTGTTGGAAGGACAGTGAGGAGATAACAGGCATTTCCCCAAATGGGTTGAATGGGTCAGTAGATATTTGGCATCAAAAAGTTCCAAGGTCGAATAGCCTGGGACAGGCTTAGTTAAGCCAAGGCAACTACAAGGCTTCTGGGAGGCTTCAACCTGCTGCTGTGCGTCGGGACCCTTCAAGGCTCGGAGCAAAGCAAGGACATAGCGTTTCCCAAATGTATTTATCTCAGAGCTCACACTTCCTGGAGTTCACACTTCTTGGGTGGGGGGTGAGCGCTGGGCAGGACATGGGAATGCCAAGTAAAGCTTTGGAGATGGTTAGAGGGCCCGCTCCAGAGCAGGTGCTGAGCGGGGTTAGGCTCTAAACCAGATTCCAGCACAATCTAAGTATGACAGTTGGGAAGACAGATGGCTCATGAAGGTCCATGTGACAGGGAAGCTGGGCAGCCCCAGGGGCTCATCCCAGCCTGGACTTGACACGTTGGTCTCTGTTTCCACCTAAAAGAGCCAGAAGTGCTTTCATGAAGATACCTTTGGTGCTGTATTTACCTACAAGCGGACAAGGCAGCAGCGCAGCCCTGGAGCCTGCAGATGTGGGCCTCTGACGGCCCACAGGAGGGGTTAAAACTGCCGGCACAGAACTTAACCAAGGAGCCAGCTCTGCATTATCTGAGGTCACAGGGCCTGGGGAGATGGAGGAAAGTGATATCCCCCAGCGTCATGTCTTATTTCTCATCTCGTTCCCCATCAAGCCCTTTACTTGACCTCCTACCAAGTAGCACCCTGGATTGATCGGAGCTTCCTCTCTCAAGCTGGGGCCTCCCTGGTCCCTTGGAGACGAAATCTTCAATGCTAGACCTGGCAAGTGGGTGAAAGATGGAACCCGCTGCTGAGTGCACCACTTCAAGTGACCACCAGGAGGTGCTGTTGTGCCACTGTGTGTTTAACTGCCTTGGGTACAATTATTTATGCCTCTGTTTAAAAAACTAACACCCTAGTCTGTTCCCAACGGCTACTTGGGCCTTCCCTGTATGGTTCCTTGATGGAGATATTTATATGATGGAATTTTACTTTAATCACACTGTATGTGTGTGTGTGGGGTGGGATGTTTTGTAGGGAACGTGGCCCTGAGTTATATAGAGTGGGGAGCTGGTGGGTGTCACAGCCTGGACAGATCCCCCACAGAGGGACACCCCAGGCAGGCCATGGCTCCTCTGAAATGGCTGCCAGGTGTGACAGCAGCAGATGGAGCTTCGTGCTGGTCCAAAGACCTGTGGTAGGGTGGAGGGCACAGGCCTGTCTCCCACACAAAGAATCTGACATGGGGTCTGGTGAGAGTGGGAATCTCGTGTGAGGCCAGAGCTTCAGGGAAGGTCTTGAGATTCTTTTTGGACACTGTCTTAGAAAGCGTTTTGCTCTGGGGCCATCTGTCTCATGCAACTTTGGCCAGTACGGATGTGGCCCCTGGGAAGGCAGGGTATTGAGGCAAGTGTGGGTCACAGCATTCTCGCCTGAGGGACTAGGGACCCTCCTGGGTTTGGAGACAGCCAGGGAAAGCTTCTCAAGAGACTGGGCCTGTTTCCCTCTCCTGGTCAGAACCAAGGAAGGAGCTCAGCGGTGGCTGCTGGGGTCCTGGCAACGTGTGGCTCCCAGCTGGGGTTTGGCCTGTGCCTCCGGGGCGCCCTCGCCCGGGACCCTCCCTCTCCTCTCCTCCTTCTAGCAGCAGCGTCTCAGGTGGCAGGAGAAGGTGCAGTGCCAACTTCAGGCTCCAGACGTGCCCTGCGTGACAGCCGTGCATCTCAGCAACACGGCCAGGAGTCCACTCTGGACCAGGGCTTCCCAGCTTTAATGTGCGCGCCTTGTCTGGAGTCCTGTGAAAACGGAGACTCTGATCTCGCAGGCTGGGCGGGGTGCAGGATGCTGCGTTTCCAACAAGCTCCTGGGTGCTGCTGGTGCCACTGCTCTGAGGACTACGCTGGGGCCTGAGGAACTGGATTCTTGCTGGGCTGAGCAGGATGTGTTGGCATCACGTGGACGCAGAGCTGGGCTGCCTGGCGGTGGCCCAGTGGCTGACAGAACCCCACACATGGACACAGAACCACTTTTCCCACGCAAGCCCTAACCCCTAATGCCAGGGAGACCCACAGTGGAACACACACCCAGACGGTGCTTTGGGTTGGCTTCTCCTACACCCTTCCCCCAAGCCACCTCCTCCCACTGGGATGCCAGGTCTGAGGAGCCAGCTCTGGCCCTGCTGTGGCCCTCACAGGCTCTGCCCAGCCCCTCCCCAATCTCGGAAGCATGGAGCTGTTTCCTGGGGTCCCTCGTTACCGCCTTTCCTGTGTCCGAGACTCCTGCCTAAAAGTCTGGAGCCCCAGCCTACTTTCTCCAACACCCTCATGGGATTTGCGAGGGACCCTCTGGGAGGAGGTGTGAGGTCAGGACCCACTGCCCAAAGGGAGTCCATGCTCTCCCGTCCCACTCCTCTCAGCAGCACCCCTGCCCAATTCCACAGACTCCAAAATGTCTCCAAATGAATTAAAGAAGCCACGGTCAACCCACATAAATGTGCCAACAAGCATTTTCATTTCTTTATTTTAAGGACACTGGGAAAGGAGCCAGTCCCTGAAGAGAACACTCTGGTCAGTTGGTGGAGGCCAGTGGGATGCCATCAGGCCTGCTTTCCAGGAGGGGGTGAAGGGTTGGTGCAGGGTGCAAGGTGACAGTGAGGTTAAAGGTCAGAGAGGAGGGGCTGAGGAGGCCACCTCCCACCAGGAGTAGACAGCTGGTGGCTTGGGACTGGGGTGGAGCCGCGTGGGGGATGGGAGGGGACTGAGCATGGGCCTCATCTTCACTGCCCACTCCTCCCTCTCCCTGGCTGTGCCTGCCTCCTGGGATGGTAGGATTTGGGCAGCTGGAGCCCCAGGTGCTGCCGCGGCTGAGGAAGGCAATCCCGGTCAGCTGCCTTCTCCGTTCCAGGGTGGCCGTAGCCAGAAGCAGGACCAGACGAGGACATGGCCTCTGCATTAAAGCCCAGATCCCAGGCAGCGTTGGAAAGGCTGGGCCTGGGACGTGAGGATGATGAGAAGACCCAGACTGCCCCCCACCCCAGCCCCGGCCCCAGGGCCAGGGAGCCGCCTATGTCTGCACGTGGGTCAGCTGGATGTCGCCCCCCACTTCCAGTTTGTTGATGGCGGGCAGGTTCCTCAGGCGATGGTAATATTCAAACAGGTGCTGACCATCTACGGCCACCTTGAGGCAGTGCGTGTCACACAAGATCCACACCTGTGCAGAGATCATGCCGTTTGCACTACGCTTGGGAAGTCCTCCACTCACACTGCAGCCCCCTGTCTCCCTCCCTCCTTCCCTCCCTCCCTCCTTCCCTCCTCAGACGTTAATAAGCCCCTCACCTGCGCTCCATCCCCACTGAGTGACGACGCTTCACTAAACGGCTGTGCGTGCTCCTTCCCTTGTACTGTTCCCTGGCCTACAATACTGTTCCCACCCCATCAGGGACGGAGCGGTGGCCTGTGCTGTCTGCATCCCTCGGGCCAGCACACAGGAGTGCTCCGGGCCTGGGCTCCTGCAGCATCAGCCTCCTAACTGGTCTTTTCCACCCCAATGCCTTCTCCATGAGGCAGTCAGCGTACAAATGTTAAAACCTCCTTCCCTTTGCAATAGCTAACACTCCTATCACACACGCCATGTGCCAGGCACTGTCCTACGCATGCTACAGATACTGTCTCATTCCATTCTTACAACTCTAGGAGACTCATATGATTATCAACTCCATTTTGTAGATGAGGAAAGTGAAGCACAGAGTAGTTAAGTCACTTGCCCGAGGTCACACAGCTGTCCACAAATCAAAGAATGTTGCTCCCTGGCTTGAAACACCTCTTGTGTGGCTTTTCACTGTGTTAAAATCCAAGCTCCTTTCCATGGCTGCAAAGCCCTACAATCAGCCGTTTTCAACCCTGATTGCAGAGTATAATCACTTAAGGCATATTTTTTAAAATGCGAAATGCCCAGCTGACCGCCTCGCCTGGCCTGGGCTGGGGGCCCAGCGCTGATATTTCCTTTGTAAGCTCCCTGGGTGGTTTGAATGTGTAGTCAGGCGGACACGCCTGCCTGCTGTTCTGGACAGGCCACACCCGTGCCTCTGCACGTTGGCCCTTGCTGCCCCTCCCAGGCTCGCTCTATCTCATCGCTCTGTTTTGCTTTGTGTGTGGCACTGTCGTTATCTGTGACAATCTGTCCATGCTTTACTTTCCTTGTTCCTTCCCCACCTAAACTGTAAACCCCCTGGAGGCAGGACCCGGTCTGCCTGCTTCAGACTGCGCCCCCAGCACGCGGGCTGCTTCCTGCACAAAGCGGGCGACAAGAAAATGGTTGTTGAATAAGTGAAGAAATGAAAAACACCTCCTTCTTGGATCTGATTTGACCACTTACTGGCTGTGTGACCGCAAGCAAGTAACCTGCACTTGTGAGTTTCTTTCCCTCATCTGAAAAAGCAGATCCCAACACTTCTCTTCATGTGGGATAGTAATAATAATAATAATAATGATAATAAAATAATAATAATAATAATTTGTTGGCCACCTTCTCTTCTTCTGGGCCCTCATCCCAGAGGCATCTGCCCCATCCTGTTCAAGGCACCCCAGACCTCCTTTACCCCTCCCCCTGTGCCCCCACAGGAGCCCTCTCCGAGCTCCAGACTGCGGGTGCCTCACGAGAAGCTCTGGCCTCGGGACGAAGGGCATATTTTCGGGGCAGACTTCGCTCCTCAGACCCCCAACAGTTGTTGATCTGGGTGTTGCGGACCACAGCGTTCTCATCAAACGGGGGTTTCAGGTGGAAGGCGATGTGGCTCCCAGAGCACAGGTTGATGTGGAAACCTGGGGTGGGCCGGCCACCTGAAGCTTTTATTCCTCTGAGTTTGAGCCCCCATTTCCTCCCTGTCATCTGCAGCCTGCCCGAAGCCAGGGGAATGCTGGAATGACCTTGAAGGGCTCTCTCTTCCCAGAGGTCACTGGAAGCCCTTGCCTTACCTCTGAGCACTGGGCAGGACAGTGCCCGACAGGATGATGGACTTGGATGGATACAGTCCTCCCGGAATGGTGGTGACAAAAGGCATTGGCTGTGGGAAGAAGGGGGACAGAGCAGCCAGTGGCAGCCAGGGCAGCTGCCACACGGAAGGGGAGGACTGTACCAGTTCCCATGAATCTGGGCTGTCAGCTGAGAGAAGCCCGTAGCTTTACTTGGTTCCGTAAAAGCCAAAGGAAAACTTTCCAGTGCTCCTCAAATTCATGGGCTTAGATTAGTGTCACGAAAGGAACTTTGGCCAAACACAACAAGACTCGTGGGTGAAAAGGGAGGGCCATGCAATGTGCTCACATTGACATGACAGTTTTAAGGTTGAAACTCCTCTCACAGTCTTCTACTTCACTGGGATGCTTTGAAGCCCTTCAGCTTACCAAAGGACCGCTTTTCATTTTCAAGGCCAGTGGATACCCCTGCAGCGGCTCTTCACCCCCAGCCTGCCCACCACAAACAGAACCTCCGCCCTCCCTGAGAAGCCACTTACATAGGCGGGGTGGGGGTACATCATAGGTGGGAGGGCGGGAGTCTGTTGAAAAGAAACCAGGAAATTCAATGGGAGAGCACATGTGTGCACGAGCACTCACCCACGCGCACCCACGCATTCCAGAGGGGCCTCCACTGGAGGCTGACCTCGTGAGGCTTTGGCCCTTGGACTCTCCCATCCACCTCCCTTTTCATGTTAGCCTTCCTGGAACTTCCTGCCGTGTTCCCGGACCCCACCACGGTCACCTGCCCCTCAACCCTCCACAGGCAGCCCCACTAACGCTAAACTCCGGCCTGATTTGCACCAGCAGGAGAAGAGCTTAAGCCTTGTTCAGGAGTAACATCGGGGACAGGACGCAGGGCCAGGAACCTCACATCCGGGTGCTGGGGCCACTGCACTCCCCACTTGGTGACAGGTGGACCAGTTTCCCTCCCGGTCTCTAGGGGACCTGCCTTTTCCACCACTGGATAAATCCTGCTTCTTCCAGAATCTCTGCTGTCCCAAGAACAGCTTTAGCCACATGTCACCTGAGCCAAGGACTCAGCCCCAGATGTCCCCATCCTCCTTGCTAAACGCTTTCTTCCTGACTCTAGGGCTCTAGGGAGTTTAGTTCTTGGTGAAGGAGGACACTGTGCAGCTGTGAACTGGCCAGAACTTGTAGACTTACAGAGAACATCTGTCCAGGGGCGCTCTGCACCGTGTGGATGACTGTCTGGGTCTGGAGGAAAGAAACCAGTTCTCACCAGGCTCTCCCATGTGAAGACCACCAGCTCCCACCAGAGGGCGCCACACGGCAGGCACCTCCAGGGGGCGTAATCAGCCCAATGGCCCCACAGACCCCACAGAGGGTGGGTCCAGCTGTTTCTTCTCTCAAGGGGATGAGGGAGGGCAAAGGTTAGAACCCTGGAGAAGACAGATGGGGATGCTGGTGGCTCTGGCCCATCTTTCCTCTCAGGGAAACCTCTCTCAGCCTAGCCTCCCTTTGCAGGTGGGAGAAGGGAATGTGGGACGCGGTCTTCCGTGGCTGCCCACAGGCTGGCAACTCAGGTTGTTTCATCACGGCCAGCCAACCACATCCAACCCCCCACCTCGCCAGGCCGGGCAGACGGTCAAGGGCCTGGCCTCTGCCCTCCCCACTCCCAATGGGAGAGGCCCAATGCCTGGCCCCGCCTCCTCCATGAGCCCAGAAGAGCCAAAATGAAGAGGATCCAAAAAGAAAGCAAGAGACTTACAATGGGAGCGGGTTGGCGGGCCGCACGCCGGGAGGCTGGAGGGGTGAGGAGAGTCAGAACGGTGGTTATGCGGGCACCAGAGAACGGGAAGAGACAATGGCAGAACTCCAGGGAGGCTCTTGTGCTCAAATGCTTCCCCAGACACATCCGCCTCCCTCTTTCTCCCAAGCAAGCCTTCCTGAGCCCGTGGCCCCCAGATTTTTACCCCAGGTGCACAGGGCTTTGGGGTTGGGGGTAGGGTATCCCCATTTGTTCCTCTCCAGAGAGAGGAGGCTGGGTTTGCTGGAGTCCTCACTGCTTTCTGTAGCTCCCACAGCCAAGAGCGTTACTTCCAGTGCCATATCTCACCCGTAAGGTGAGAAGGGGTATTTGTTGAAGGCCTACTGTGGGTCGATTCCTGGGCTTCAGTGCTTTCCAATGAGGGAAGCAGCCTCAGCTCCTGTGTTCCTGGTGAGGCAGTGAGGCTCAGAAAGATTAAGCAACTTGCCCAAGCTCGCCCAGGTGGAAGGGACCAAATCCAAAACGGCAGCCAGTTCTGTCTGACTGTATCCAGCACACTTTCTATCCCCCAGGTCAGGCCAGGGCCAAAGTTGGGCTGCCCTGCAAAAGTTCCCTGGGGCTCAACCAGTCCTGAAGTCAGTGTGGCAGGAGGCAGGTGCCTTGTCTGTACCGTGATGGGCCATAGAAAGACTGTGTAGACCAAGCCCCTCCTCCCAGTCCCCACTGCTTGAGTGGCCAGAGGAAGGGCTGCTCGCCTCCTTGTCCTGGATCCTGCCCCACCCAGTAGACTGTTCTTGCCCTGGCTGGTATCCCATTCTTCCTGGCTGTGAGAACCACATTCCACATTCATTCATTCACTGAGCCCCTACTGAGTGCCAGGCACTCTGCAAATGAATAAGCCATGGTCCTAGCCCTCTGGGGCCTCATGCATAGGGAGATGGGGGTGGAGTGACAGGGACAGACACACAAACACAGTTACAATGGGGTGCTGTGAACTGGCATGGCACAGATATGTACAGACTCCATGGGGACATGGGGGAGCGTCCAACAATATTCTGGGCAGGGAGGACTCCCAGAGGAGAGACACTTAGGCAGAGCATGGAAGGGCAATTAGGCGTGTGCTGGGGACAGGCTGGCAGAGGGTGTTTCCGGGACCAGGGACAGCATATGCAAAAGCATGGTGGCCCGAGAGGGCCTCGCGTGAGCCGTGGAGGCTGCGTGAGCTTCGTGGGTTGGGGGTGAGGCAGGGAGGTTGACTGGGGCCAGACTCGGAAGGAATCTGTATGCCCTGCTGGGGAATTTGGGCTTTATTTGAAGGGCTTGGGGCTGTTAAGATTTTAAGCAGGGAGAGGGTGTGATCAGATTTGCTTATAAGAAGGTCATTGCAGTGGTTGGGTGTGGGG